GTAATCTGCCTTCACACCTCTGCTTAAACAAGGACAAGTCAGGGGTTTTATGACACTGTGCACCTGGCCAGGGCCCTAGACTAGGCTTAGTTCCGTCCTAACTCTGGATGGGCTACGAGGTCCATGAGTAGTAAACAGGGATTCGATGGTTTAAATAGAGCCATCGACACCTAATCGGTTTATGGTTTCCGTTTTGAAAACCACTTTTCCATGGAAATTGTCAAAAATTTCGTGAATCGACATAAATCCTAGGAGAATTTGCCGAGGAAGATACGACTTTATAATAGAGATGGTCCCTAGGTTAAAACGTCTCTTAAAGCTCAAGTTAAGGAGTCATAGAATCTCTCGAGACCCTTCGAGAGGCATTATGAGACTTGTCTGAGGGAAACCCATTGCTCAGCCGTATTTTGGGCCTAGTCTATCTGTTAGACATTTAAGAGAGAATATGAGATTTGTTGAGCCAAAACTAAAGGTTAAAATGAGGGCGGTTTTAGGGATAAATACATCATAAGGGGCAACAATGAGTGGCAAGCCTCTATGTTTGAAAGTGATATACGAGCAAGCTATGCCGTGGTCAAATAAGTTGGAATTTGTTTTTGCGCACCAAGTCTCGCAGTAAGCTTTTACCTCATTCAAGCAATGATCATAAAGCCAAGATGAACATTGACAGGGGCTTAATAAACCTGCAAGGCATAAGGTAGCCTCAAAGTTCCTGCAAATCTCTTTGCCCAAAAAAAATATATTTGAAGCTAGTGGTTGTCTCTGTTGCATGGGAAGCCATCACGATCCCAAGCAGTTTTCTTGTCAATGATCTTGTGCCCCAGGGTGTGTAACCATTAGCTGCTTGCGACCTCTCGGTCAGCACAATGAAGTAGAAATTCGTTTCCTCGCCAGTCAAGGAAGAAGCCTTGGCTATTAAAAGCCCCACAGCCAAATGGATGGCTCATAAATGAAATGTTCACTGGCCAATCAATCTCTATCACAAGAGAGGTGTCGAGGGCTCGAAGAGGAATGTGTCGGGCTTACCCGACATCAGGAGGTTGTCTAGTCTTCCCTTTCATTTAGGAGCTTGTCTATCACCATGGCAGAACTGCTAGGTAAGGAAATGAAATGAGAGTAAGGCCAAGACGAATCAGACCATGAACTTCAAAAAATTTAGATGATAAGGCCTCTTTATCGTTTTAACTGATGGTCGAAGCCCAAAATATGGCTGAACTGTTGGTTTTGACTCCAAGAGTCTCAGATCTCCTCTATATCACCTTAGTGGACGGTTTGAAAGGCCATTTGTTTTAACTTAGATAGTCTGATATCGCTTCTCTATCTTCTTAACCGACGGCCTGAGTCCAAAACATGGCTAAGACATTGGTTTTGACTCAGAGACTCATACCTCTTGTCTATCATCTTTTTTTTTACCGTCTGAGCCCAAAATATAGCTAAGACATTGATTTTGACATGGAGAGTCTCATATCTCTTCTCTATCATCTTAAGTGACGGTTAGAGCCTAAAATATAGTTGAACCATTGGTTTTGACTCGGAGAGTTTCATATCTCTTCTCTATCATCTTAACCAATGGTCTAAGCCCAAAATATGCACAAACCATCGGTTTTGACTCGAGGAGTCTCATATCTCTTCTCTATCATCATAACCGGGAGAGAGAGAGAGAGAGAGAGAGAGAGAGA